AAACTGTAGTTTAGTCCACCACTTGGGGGTGGGTCTTTTCTGTAAGAGGAGAGGAGTTACGCCAAGGTTTGTGCTCGTAGAAGAAAAAGGAAAGAAAGTGAAGGCGATGATTCTAGGTTAGGTCTTGCTTTGACACCATCGCTTGTTCCCCTTATTGGACCCAACAGATCCCCCACTCATTGCACCACGGCATAAAAAGGTAGCACAACTGTGCGAGTATATTCTTCTCATGTTGCATCACATGGCCGGGCTTTCCCCTCTTTGTTTCTCAACTTTTCTTGTCAGCTGGTCCACTGTCGCAGGGCAGAGCTCCCTCTCCATGTCTCAAGCATAGAGACCCTTGGATTATCTACGACAGACAGCCTGAGACATCGGGGATGGGTTGGTTCCATCTCTTTTCTCACTCCACAATACTTGCTAAGATCAGCTCCCCACTCTTTCGATACTAGATAGAGGATCTGCTCCTCACCCGTCAACTTGGATGCGGCAGCTTAGCATCATCTCCCCCATTAATTGTCACAGGTAAGTGACAAGATGAGCATTAGCTGGTAGTAGTTGCACCAAGAATCTTGTGATCACATAGCGGTCTGGATTCATTGGAACTTATTGCCCGAGAGACAGCTCTTAGCTGGATGTTTTTATCGTGTGTCCTTTTGCGGTACATTAACCCCTAAGCATCGCTTTAATTCCCTCGACCATCCGCTCGCTGCATGGTATGGTAGTAGTGCTGCTTCCTTCCTCCATGGACAATCATGGAGCTTTGGTGCTATAAGACGACGACTACTCTATACATACATACATAACGTATTTGATTTCTTCTGTTTTATGAGAGGATAAGCATCTCCTTCTCTACTGTCTTTCGAGAGCTTCCTCATCATGGCACCAACCCTTCTCGGATGAGTCATGACTGCTTACGAGTCTGATGCCTTTAGCAGCTCTTCTCTTTTGTTTCGGAAAACAAAAGCAATTATCCCAAATACAAAAAATGATTCCTGTTAGAGAGAGAGAGTGTGTGTGTGTGTGTGTGTGTGTCACATGAGCTTGCTAGTTTAAAGATGTTCTCTCCTATGCAAATGCATACAAAGTTCTATGCAAAATGGTCCCCTAAACTCTCTCTCTCTCTCTCTCTTTTGAGTTGAGGAACATGTTGATCCACGAGAGGGGCCTCCAAAAGCAAATGAAAGGTGGGAGGTAAATAAATAGAAAGCTAAGCCTGTGGGTGAGACATTATTATTGAATTGCTTTTCCATGGGACCACTATCCCTCGAAATTATTCTAACTCCTCTCCTTTTTAGTCCATTGCAACTCATCCTCTCTCTCTTCCTTGTTTTCTCTTGTGTGGTTTCTCCTCTCCTCTCCTTTCATCCCCAACCCCCCCTCCCCCCTTTCCACTGCCTCTTTCTATAAAATTATCAGTAGCTTCTCTCTTCTCTCTCTCTCTCTCTCCCTCTCTTTGTCTCCCTCCCCCGCTCTCTCTCTCCCTCTCTCTCTCTCG